TCATCTAACAGGACTGTCCAATCTTAGAGGACAGTTGATTTCTATTACATTTGTCACAAACGGCAGCCAAAGGGTCAATATCTTTAATATTAAAATAGAATCTCTCACTTGAATATTGATTATGTGCCAGATATTATTCTAAATATTTTACATAGATTTTTCTCACTTAATCCTCTCAACAATCTTATGAAGGAAATACTACTATTTTATGTAAGGGGAAACGGAGGCACAGAGAGGTGAAATAACTCACCTGAGGTTACACAGCTAATGAACAGTGGAGACAGGATTTGAACACAGGCACGGTACCTGCAGAGCATATTCTCTGAACCACCATGCAACATAATCTTCTAAATATGTTTACTGCTAGGGAATTATACTTGAGCTGTGAGAAGGAGAATCTTGCACAGAGCCAACAACGATGAAAGAGAGAGAGAGAATGCAAATGTGGGAGTACTTTTACCAACCAACAAGAAAAGGTGAAGTACTTCAATAGGGCGAAAATGAGCAAAAAATAAAAACAGGCAATCTACAAAAGAAAAATATACAAATGATGTACATGCTCTTTGAGAATAAAGGAGCAGTGAACAGGAGGGATTCGAGAAAAGGAAAACAGTGTCAGAGAAGTCTTCACAAGGAACAGGTGATTCCTGTTCTGTTCTGTTTTTTCAGGTGTGTGTGTGAGGAAGATTAGCCCTGAGCTAACATCTGTTGCCAATCCTCCTCTTTTTGCTGAGGAAGGTTAGCCCTGGGCTAACATCCGTGCCCATCTTCCTCTATTTTGTATGTGGGACGCTGCCACAGCATGGCTTGATGAGCTCTGCGTAGGTCTGCGCCCGGGATCCGAACCTGCAAACTCTGGGTCGCTGAAGCAGAGCACACGAACTCAACCGCTACACCACCGGGTGGCCCCTTAGCAGTTCTGTTTTTTAAGCTGAGAGCTGTCAAACTCCATGTCGAAGACCATTCTGAACAAGGGTAGTCCTTGAGGTGAGGGCCAGCCCTTCTGAGTGCTATGGGAGACCCCAGCTGCCCTTTCTCTCCAGCAAGAGGCCATGGAGCCTCACCCTCCTTAGGGGCCGGACGGGGTCTGCAGAAACCCGCAGAGGATGCGGCACTGAGGGCCTTCAGGGTGTCTTTCTTTTAGCGAAAGAAAAATTATTTGGTATGATATATATTATTTGAGAAAAATTATTCTAAATAAGTCCATATTTTCTCGTTAGGTTAATGGGAATTTCCAAATATTTCTGATCCATGGTTGGATATAAATTTGGCCAATTAGGAAAACAACAAAGGGAAAACTGTTGGATATCAGAGAGAGCAGAACACTTAGTAAAGTGAGTTACATAAATTGAATAGAGAAGTTGAGGTCAAAGAAATGGAAAATCCAGGAAATAAAGAAAGAGCAGTACTGCATTCACAATCTGATCAAATAATCACAATTTCTGAATCTGAGGCTTTGACCTCTGCAGTCATGGGACTTCTTCAGTCCTAGAACAATTTTGTAGTTCCCTTCACAAAGAAGGCTTTCAGAGCCCTCTGTATGTCTTTACTCCTCAGACTGTAGATGAAGGAGTTCAGCATGGATGTGACCAAAGTGTCCCCTTCAGGTCCCAGTCAGGCGAGTAGCCTGTTCCTCTTGAATCCTTGCTCTGCCACTTACCAGCTGTGTGACCTTGGGCGAGTCACTTCCCTCTCTGTGCCTCAGTTTCTACATCAGCAAAGTGTGCTAATAATAGTAATACCTATCTCATAGAGCTATCGTGAGGATTCAATGGGTCAATTCATATGAAGCAGTTAAAACAGTTCCTGGCGCATACTAAGCATCCGAAAAGGTTCATTATTTGAAATTCTATTTTATGCTTCACTCATCTAAAAGCTGTTTCTGAAAAAGACACAAAGCATCATTCCTGTCCCCACCAGTGCTTCTCCAGAGCTCAGCTGCCAGTTGTGGAGTTGTGTGATGTTCAGCCATTCTGGGCCTCTCTCCTGTCATTTCTTTTTCTCAAAGAAGAGGCCAGTTTAATCCGAGACAGCCCAGCTGTGCTTTAGTCAGTGACTGGTTTGGCCTGGGGTGTTGATGGAGCCTCTGTTTGTGGGGGCTAGGTTCCCTTCCAATTCCACAAGGTCTGCTCCATGGCCAGGAATGTGGGGTGAAGAGGCTGGCTCCCCTAGAGCCAGGGGCAGACGCAGGTTAGGCCCAGAGGCAGCTCCCAGAGGAATTCCCGCGGCAAGGCGAGGGGCTGGCGATCTGAGGCAGCTTCATCCCCAAGGAGAGCAAGCCTCTCATGGAAGGTCAGCATGAAGCAGTTCTCCCACTGGCCTCGTAACGTCCTGAGCTGGTTACTCCATTCTGCGTGGACCTAATCGCTGTTTTGAGCTTGGACATGTGAATCACACTCCCAGAGTTTGTTTCCTTACAATTGAGGTGAAGGGAACACTACAACCCGGAGCTGTTCTGAGGATATGATAACATATTATTAGCCAAACCTTGCTACGCAGTACCTGCTAGTGGGCCCTCAACGAGCTTTTGGTAAACATTGTCAGTCTCTCGTCTCTTCACCACTGGGCTGTGGCCTCAAGCTCAGAAACAAACCTTTCTCTTTCTCTGTCTAGCCCAAGCTGGTTCCCCCAAATTCTGCTGACCTCACAACTCTGCTTTTGATTTAATATCTCTTTCATGTTGCCCTTGTAGGTCTTCCCCCAGACACAGCATTCTGGAGCAGGATGAGCTATTTCAACCCCTTCCTTTTACAGAAAGGAGATCTGAGGTCCAGGGAGGAAGACGGCCAGTCCAAGATCACACAACAGAGCCATGACCAGACCCCAGGCCTTGGGTTTCCCAGGCCAGAGCTCCCTCTTCTGGGGGTCTTGGATACATTTTCATTGTCTCTCCTGCCATTCTTCGACCTCTTGTTGAGCACTGGCTTTGATCAACACCAAGTTTGTGCAGGAGAGAGGATTCTTGACCTCAGCCAAAGGCAAAACCACAGTGAGCATGAAATGGGGAGGAGGGGGAAAGGGAGTCACTCATCAGGAGGCCAGGGCCAGGCCCCTGAGCCAGGTACCAGGGCGGGGAAGTGGGCAGCCACCAGTCTCAAGCCCTCAAAGTGGGTCTGTAAGATACTTACGTGGTCAGAGGGCTGCCGTCCCGGCTGGAAAGGCTGATGTGTGGGCTCAGTCCCAAGGTAAGTACGGCCTGAGGTTGTGGGACCCTGCCTGGGCCCAGGACCACACCTGGCTGTGCTCCTCCTCCCAGGCCTGGCTTCCTCGGCAGTCAAAACTGACTAGGACTGAAGGAGACATGGCGTCAGCACTTGGAATTTAGGCCTTATGTAGATATTTGAAACATTCCCTCCTCCCTTTCCTCTTCTATTTCTAATCCCTCCAAGGGCTGTTGAAATGGTCCTTCCTTTAGCCCCCCACAGTGTCTGAAATGCCACCGTTGGCATTTTCTTCCCTTGGAGCCACCATTCCTCCAGTCACCGTCTGGATGCCTCTGCCCTCCTCTCTATGGATTCAAATTCAGCCGGGCCCTCAAATCCAGCCCAAGTCTTGCCATCAAAGAAGCCACCTTCAAATGCTTCCCCGATCTTGCCCACCTCTAAGAGTGCATTCAACTCACTGTTCCACGTGGTGCTGGGTGAGAGAACTAGGTGCTACCTGACTAAGTAAGTGGCTTCATGTGTGTGCACCTGGGCAGCAGGTGAACTTCCTGGGGGTACTGGCCTCATCTCCTCCCTCTGTTCGCTCTCAGTGCAGCTGAACACAGGGCTCAGAGACAAGAGGTATGTGACCTGGGGTGCTGGTTAAAAATTCAGAGTCTCAGGCCCGACTCTAGACCTACTGAATCAGAATCACTGGGCAGAGTGCCAGGTAATCTGCTTGGACAAGCCCCTCAGGTAATGGCCATGCCCACTTAGGTTTCAGAACCACTGTGAGGGGGTCACAATGTACCCTACTCCTCACCTTATGGATCACGTGAGTCAGACGTTTTGTTAGAACACTTATTCTTTGGAGTCACGGGTGGATTGAGAAGCAGGGAGTGAGGAGGGCTTGGGAGGAGCAAAGAAAGAAAGAGGTAAGGATAGATGTGGGCCCCTCAGAAGTGTGCCCAAGGCCGGGGCCTGCACAGTCTCCAGAGAGAGCGTGGATGCCCTCAGAGGCTGCCAGAAGGCCAGCGAGGAGGGGGGTGTGGCCGCCTCCCCCTTTACTGGCAGCTCTTCTCTTCTCCCCTGGGAGGTGGGAAAAGGTTTCAGGTGCCAGTGGAGTCCATTGTTGGTCCCTGGCTGACCAGGGCTGGCCACAGACAAGGGGGAGGTGGCCACAGACGAGGGGATTCAGGACAGAGAGTGAACACAGGAGACTGAATCGGGAACAGATCTGTGAGGAGGGAGACGTCGTTCCCCACCTCTCTGCAGAAAGGGGCCTGAGGAAATGAGTCAGATGTAAGAGAATGTTTTCTGGATGTAAAGCAGGTAGTGGATGAACAGCTTGGCCAGCCCTAAGAAGAGTTGAGCCAGCTCCCAGTGGTCCTGTGTGAGTTGGAGCTTTGCTCTCAGGGGGCAGGCAGCGGAGGGGGGACGTCTCCACGCCCCTCCAAGCACATGGGCTTTAGTTCCCAACTAGGTGAGCAGAAAAAAGACCAGCTGCAGATTCCAGGGTGCTTGCAGATCGGCTGGGGCTCCTCAGTCCCTTGCCTGGAGCCTGAGTTCTGTGTTTGGGAAGACTCCAGTGCTGACAAGTGGTTCTAGACAGGGGACCCCAGCTGGGCTGGGCAGCCAGCTGCTTCTTGTCCTTCCCTGGAGCATGCTGCGGGCAAGATAATAGACGATGCGGAGGCTCAGACACAGCCGCTGGGTCTATCAGAGAGCAGCGTTAGTGCATGGAGGGGCCCCTGCCCCCAGGCCCCATGCCCACCCTCAGCCTGGCCACCAGCCTCGTCAAACATGCTTATTTGTGGGGGCCACGTAGAATAGCTGCAGAAAGCACAGAAAAGGAAGGGATTGTGGGCTGGAGCAGTCAGGAAAGGCTTATTTGGAGAAGGGGACCAAACTGGGCATTGAAGTACTAGCCAGGTTTAATGTAGGGATGAAACCACTATTTTTTTTCAGATTCCTGAAAAGCAAGACTTAGAAAAGCCACCCCTCATTGTGTCACTGTGTCCTAGTTCCCCTGGGCCTTTCTGCCTTCGTCAGAAGTCCAGACCGTGCTTGGGTGGAAAGGAAGTTGGAGGAGGCTGTGCTTCTGATTAGACTCTGGACGTGAATTTTGGACTGTGGAGGCGGGGCCCTGGGAGCAGGGCTGCTGGGGTCTCTGGGGAAGCCACTGCACAGTGCAGAGCCGAGGGGGCAAGTCGAGATTTCCAGAACAGAAAGTGGCCTTCTCTTTCCTCGTCCGCCCTGTGAAGGCTTCCTCCTGGCGGGCGGGCAGTGGGCGCTGGGCTCGCGGTGGTGTCCTGTTGTTTTTGGCCTCTGCGCCTAGACGGGAGCGTGACAATAGGCACAGTGTTTCCCACGCGTGGTCCGCCAGGGCCCCGCCTGCCCTTGGCAATGCCCAGTGTACGTAGCTGTGCAGAGCTGGGCGTGAGGGTGATTCTGTGTGGAGCAGCACGGAGGAGGCCAGGCTACGAGGCAGGAGACCACCCCTCTCGGCTGCGCTCCCCGAGGGCGTCGCTGGGGCAGGGTTCCCTCAGCACCTCCTCCTTCCTCCTGAGGAGATTCGTGGGGGCCTTGGGGGCTGAATGAGAATGTACTGAGCTTGTCTCAGGAGTCCCCAAACCACATGCAGTGGAACCACAGCCACCTCCTGACCCTGAATTCAGACAGACACTAATTGACCTCAGATTGACCCCTGATCCTGTTTTCAGGCTGGTAATGGTGGGTGGGGGCGGGGGGCGGTCTGACTCGGCATAACTAGTGCTAATACTTACACATCCTTTCCTATGTACTGGCGCCGTTCTAGTCAATTTCTATGGACTCACTTATTTCAATCTGCACGACAGGTCAGCAAGGCAAGCACTGCTTTCACAGAGCCACAGTGAAGTGGAAGACTTTGCCTCAGGTTCCACAGTGAGCAGGCGCAGAGCTAGCGCCTGAGCTCAGGTGGCCTGGCACGGGGGGCTGGTGCCCATGGCAGACCCTACCCTGCTGCTGGGGAAGTAGGGACAGGGGGTGCTTATGCTGGCCTGGCTGGTAGTCAGGGCCTCGTCTTCCTGGCTAGATGATAGCACACTCATGCTTGTTACTTGTGAGATGACAGAGGAAGGGCAGAGCAAAATTGGAAATGATTTGGCCCCCAATCCTAGTCTCTGGGCCTCACATGACTCCACACTGTCCCTGGGAGAGCTGGGGATGGCAGCTGCTGGCAGTTCCTTCCAGACCCATGGATATGTGTCTCAACCTTCTGCTCACCCATGCCTTGCCCTCGTCCATCCAGCCATCCATTCATTAAGCATTTCTGTGTGCCCAGCACTGTGCTGGGAATGGGCATGGCACAGTGACAGATGAGGCTCTGTGCCCTCACAGTCTGATGGGGCAACAATTAAATGGATTGATCTATCTATCTATCTATCTATCTATCTATCATCTATGTATCTGTCATCTGTATATCTATATATCTACCTATCATATATGTCTCTATGTATCTATCATCTATTTACCTATCTATCTAACACAATGAACACAGCAGAGCATCTGGGAGCAGGGAGTTGGTTGGGGAAAGCTTCCTAGGACAGGGGGTACCTTAGCTCAGTCTTGAAGGAGATAGAGGAGTTAGCCAGGTGCAGGCTTGGGGCTCACGACCAGTACAGGAGCGGGCTACACGGACAGAGACTCAGGGCTGAGGCAGCAGGGCGGGGCTACTCAAGAGTTGTTATTTGGAGACCAGGGTGTGAGGGGAGTGGAAGGAGAGAAGCTGCATAGCTAGGTGTGGCTAGCCACAAGGAGGGCCTTGGAGAATTCTGGAACATGCCCCCAGGCTGAGACAACTGGCCCTCCCCAGTGTTGTTTGAGATGGTCCCAGGTGGGCTTCCAGGGGATGTCCTTGGAGCCTCTCTCCCGACCCAGGAGCTCCCTCAGCAGCCCACTGGGTTCTGGAAATTGTCATCCTGCTGAGGGGCCTGTGGGCCACACCTCCACCCCATGAGTCACTCAGGTGCTCAAGGTGGGTTTTCCCAGGAGGCAGCAAGGCTACCTATGAGCCCTGAGGGTGCTGAGCGTCTTGGCAAGACGGTGCCAGGATTCCGGATGACCCACCTGTCTGATTGAAAAGGGACCTTTCACTTAAACCACAAGCTGCAGCATCTATTTGTTGCTGGCTGGACCCTTAGGCTTATCACAGAATCCATGGACCACAATGGTGGCCTGTGGCTCAGCCAGCCAGAGTGAGGGGACCAACCATCCGTGGAGGAGTCAGGGACAGTGTTTTCCAGTTCCTCTGCTGTAAGGAAGTGTCCATTTCAGCAGAGCATGTTGTCCTCAGGAATAGCTAATGGACTAGAGGGAGACAAAAATAGCAGTCCCTTCGTGTAGCATTTACCACCAAGGAGACGCATCAGAAACGTTAAGAATCGAGAACTTTATAAAAATTAATATTTTTAGCAGGAGATTCCATTGATGCTTCCTTGAAACTACAGAGGAGGATGTATTTGAGAAGAGAGAAAAAGAGGAGAAGAGAGGGAGGGAAAAGAAAAGAGGGGAGAGGAGAGGGGCAGGACCCTCCTGGGTACTAGACAGTCTTCTTTCTGTAAATCTCACACCACAGTATATAAAAGAATTAAAGTGCACCCAGATCCCACATTATATAGAATTATTTTGCTATAAAATACTTGGAGAGAATTTTTATAATTTTGCTTTTGAAATTATTTGGCTGAAGTTTACTCATTTAGTTTACAATTGGCTCCGACCTCCCAGCCATCATCACACAGCCTCAGGAATCTGTACAAGGCGAGAAAATCGAAGGTACAAGTTGTTTTCAAATGGAAGGAAATTTTCATGAGCACCAAATTGAACAATTACCGACATTTGAATGTATTCATTAAAAATTTATTATTTCCAATTTTGCTTTTTTGGATTTTAGAGCAACTTCATTTTTTCCCAGGTTGCAACATTTGGGTAGGTACAGCTCACGGATCCTACTTACGGTGAAGGGTTTACGGTACAGCAGTCCTGGGGAGGGTGAGTGGAGACCGAGCTCCCCAGCAGGAGGCTCGTCTCACTTGCAGACTGGGCCACTCTCCTCTGAACAGCCCTTCCCCCAACTGCCCTGCCCCTTAGGCAGAGCCCACCCACTGGACCAGGCAAGGGCCAGGGTTAGGGGGAAGGGGCGCCTGCACAGGAGTCTGGGGGGGCGCCTCAGAAAACCTGGGTCAACCTGGGTCAACCTGTCACCCCAGTTCTGGGCCTGGGGTTATGAGAACCTCATCCCAGGCAGGGGGACTTCTGAGGCCACCTGGGGCTGGGCCTTGCCACGCCTGCACTTTGTAACTTGGATTCCTTATAACTGGCCCTGCAGGGACAGAGGAGGGGAACAGAAAGCCACTTGATAGACTCCTGCTTTCAGTCACTACAGAGGTTTTACGATCTGAGAGGTGAACTGGGGAGCAGCCACAGACTATTTCATCTTGATGCTAACATACCGAACGAAAATGCAGACAAACCGTTTGGGTTTAGGTTTTTTATTTTTTTTTTAAACAAAAAAGAAATAAAACTCAGAGCTCACTCCAGGTTATGGCGCTGGGATTTTGAGTCTTCCAGGCGGACTTGGAGTGGTCCCTGGCCCCCCGACAGCTTTCCGGAGGAAACCTTGCAGCTCAGCCACCGTGACCCAACCACAGACAGAAGCCCCCGGAATCCTGTCCCTGGGGCCTGAACTGGGGCCCAGAAGCCCTGCTGTGCGTCTGCAGGGTGCAGGCTGCTGTCCCCGCCATCCACCCACCCACCCACTGCAGGACAGCTGGGGCTTCCTCTCTCACCAAGTGCGGCTGAGGGAAGTCACGTTAGCAAATGAGGTGTCGTGATTGATGGGGTCTCTTCTGGACGTCAGGATGATGAATGGGCTGCAGGAGTGGGTCGACCACAGGATGGGGGGCCATGCCAGGACCACACCCAGCAGAGCCCCATCACGCAGAGACTTTGTGCTCACACGTGGTAGAGACACACTACATGTTGAATGAATGGTCTGTTGATGAAAACTTCGACATAAAGTCAGCAATTTTGGGGGGAGGAGAGCAGACGGCTGGATGTTGTCAACTGTTTTCTGAGGCACTAGAATACGATGAATGAGACCCTGATTTTGTAGTCCCTCAAGTTTCTCTGAAGCATTCTTCCATTTTTCCAAGCTCCCTCCACAGATGCCCTTCTTCCTCACTGCCTCCCACTCTGGCTGCATGTTTAGGCAAGGTAATGGTAGGTGCCGTCAAAAATTAAACCCTAGGGGCCAGCCGGGTGGTGTAGTGGTTAAGTTCGTGTGCTCTGCTTTGGCAGCCTGGGGTTCACGGGTTTGGATCCCAGGTGCAGACAGACGCACTGCTCATCAAGCCATGCTATGGCGGCGTCCCATATAAAGTGGAGGAAGACGGGCACGGATGTTAGGCAGGGCCAATCTTCCTCAGCAAAAAGAGGAGGATTGGCAACAGATGTTAGCTAGGGCTAGTCTTCCTCACAAAGAAAAAAAAAATTAACCCCTAAATTTCTGTGGCTTCACTCAGCTGTGGTTTGTTGCTCACTTATGTGGCAGTCCAATGCGGGTATCCTGGTTGGCGTGTGACGTTCCTCCAGGTGGTGATTCAGAGACCCCTGCTTCTTCCATCTTGTGGCTCCATCATCCCAGAGGGCCTGGAGGCCTCTCCATATGCCCGGTGGACCCGCAGCATGTGAAGCCACAGCCCCTTTTGAAATCTCTGTTAGCTGGGAAGTGACCATTCCCATATACCGTTGGTGAGAATTAGTCACATAGCACATAGTACATCTCGATGAAAGGAGGGCAAGGGACAGTGCACTGGGCAGTTGATTCCCAGAAAAAGAAATCTCCATTCTACAGAGACGGACAGTGGAGAGTGAGCCATCTTGCCATCCATTCCTCAGAGGACTTCATCCTTGCCATCCTCCTCCTCATTATCCCAATAGCCAACACAGACATATCTATGGTGCCATGTTCCAGTCACTGCTCTCCATGCTCCGCATATTTTATTTTATTTATTTTATTTTTTTTGTGTGTGTGTGAGGAAGATTAGCCCTGAGCTAACATCTGTTGCCAATCCTCCTCTTTTTGCTGAGTAAGATAGGCTCTGGGCTAACATCTGTGCCCGTCTTCCTCTACTTTGTATGTGGGACGCCGCCACAGCGTGGCTTGATAAGCGGTGTGTAGGTCTGGCCTGGGATCCAAACCTGCAGACCCCAGGCCGCTGAAGTGGAGTGCACGAACTTAAACCACTACACCACCGGGCCGGCCCCCCATGCTATGCATATTTTAAACATGTAATCCTCACAACAACCCTATGGGTAGATACTACTCTATTTCATTGGTTCCAAGATGCACAATTTTTTTTCAGACTGTAGCCTCTCTGAAATCAGAATACTGTCAATGGCATCTTTCCATCACTGTCATTCAGGCAGCAGTCATGGTGGCTGTGTGTGGAAAACCTTCCTCTGACACTTTCTGGAAAGATCAAGAAAGTTCTAGCATCTACAGATTTAGAAACCGATGCCCACAGAGGTTTAGTAACTTGCCCAAAGTCACACAGCCAGTGAGTGGTGGAGCTGAGGTTTGAAGCTTGGCATTCCCCTCCTCTCTGCTTCCAATGGATTGGGAGACTTGCTCTGGGGGACCACCCATGTTTATCAACCTTCTTCTCTCAGACCCCTCCCTGGTGGCTGAGAGGGCTCCTGGCCCTCTGTGGAGGGTGAAGGAGAAGTATTTTTTCAAGTCCAAGATCAGGGTCCTCAAACTGGCAGATGCCAGGTCCTGGCTGGAGTGATGGACTCCAGTTACAAGGACATCTGTGAGGCCAGGACGCCTGCTACATTCTTGCCTGGCTGATAATTTAATCTCTCAAAAAGCAACAAGCGGAACTGGCAGGAGACACCAAATTCCGATGGACTAAGAGGCGTGAGGTGGTAAAACAAAAGTGATAGAGACCTGGGAAGAAAAGGCCCTTATCGTCCTGGCATTAGCAATGTCACATGAAGGGAGGCAAAACCAGCTGTGTAGGGGGAACCTTGAGAAAGTAGATAGTTTCCAAATAGAGAAAATATAGTGGCTCTGAGAAGATGACTCAAAAGATCAATCTGGCCCCATCTAAAACTCAAAACAAAAAATAAAAACAAAAACTATTACCACTAACAACAAGTAAGGAATGAGGTGGTGGGAGGGGGGCGTTCAACATATAGCCAAGAACAAAATATAGCCAACACCTCAAAATTTCCTCAGATCAGATGGCACAAAAGTGTGTCAGGACCACCCCAGCCACAATGTGTCAAAGCTTAAAAGGGCCTTTGATGAGAGAGATGGCTGAACTCTCGCTTCCTAAAAGCACTCCCATTTTCCTTGGAGAGTGAGCACCCCTGGGAACTGTCTGCACATTGATGATGGCAACCTCATCCCCAGAGAGGTTTGAAGAGGTGTAGGGGGGTACAGGTGTGTCTAACAGGTGAGGTGAGTTGGGTTTCAAGGTCTAGAAGAAATTTCCGATGAAACCCCTCAATGAGAGGAAGAAAGATGGAAACCAGAGATGGATAAAGACTCTCCTGATCTTCAAGATGGAGTTTGGAAGCTAGAGGCAGTGAAGCCAATCTCCAATAATAGAAGGGAACAGGGCTTTCTAATTATAAACCATTAGCAGAGCTGGATCAGACTCACCCTGTGCAGCACGCTAACATGGGCTCCAAGCCCTCCCAGTCCCCACAGGGCTGCTCTATGGAGG